CAGATGAAAATAGGAGATGAAAATAGACCTCTTTGTAGTAGTGAAGTGTTAATAGAATTGTTAAGTTGATTGAAATGCCATTGTTGTTTGCTTGATAGGCATTGGCAGTGAACAAGAAAGAGCTCAAGAACAAGAGAAAGAGATCAAGGAATCAAGTTTGTAAAAAGGCAGTAAAAACTTACAATTTTATTGTTAAATTGCATTGGTTGTTTATGTTATGTGTATGTGTCATGATGTGGTTGAGTTTTGAATGTTGAAATGGGATTAAGTTCTTGCATTGATGCCTTAAAAAATATGTATAGTTAAGTTATGTGCTCCCTTTCTATGGCATGTTAATAGCATATTAATGGCATGACAATGTATAAGTTAAACACTTGCATATCACATGAATCAATCTTATATTTTGATACTATGATTGATGTTCTTTGCTACCAAAATTTCTTTTAAAATCTCACTCCTATTATATTTAAATCCTATCCATTTAGACGATAGAAGTACTAAAAGGAAAGGCAAGGAGGTGGCCATTGCTTGAAGATTTTTTGTATGGACTTTTTGGATAATATTATGTAATCATGCACTGACTATGGTTGGTTGACCCTTTAACTCTTATACATTGTATAATACAGTTAAAGTATAATTATATGTTGTTTGCATGATAAATGACATCCATGAAATGACATGGCATGATGGTGCAAGAATGGAGATTAAAAGGATGAAAATAACCTAATCTATACCTATTTTAGAGCCCACATGATTTTAAACAAATGAGGGAATTTGCTTATGAAATTTGGGAATTTAACATATCCCACTTTTATCTTTAAAATGAGAAATAATTTAGTAAAATTAAAGCTTTGTGTAAAAGATTATGCCTATTTAATGTTAGGCATAAATTCTAGAAAACTAAAAATTTAACAATAAATAGTATAAGTTTGCGTGAAAATTGGGCTCAAGTGTAATGGATTTTTGAACACAGAGTATTTTTCCTTCTAAGAACATTTAGTAACCTTCAAATAAAACTTGAAATCCCTTCATTTTAATATTTCTAGGACTAATTATGAATTTTCAAAATTGGTATTATTTTTAAAGCTGTCAAGTGAATAGTAATTTGAGAATGAATTTTTCAAAGTAAGGTTTTTTCTAAACTTAATGCCATGTAATGTGATTCCAATTGACTTGTTTTGGCTCTATATATAGCACAAACTCTCCACAATATCAGCACAGCTCAATAAGAAAAGAAAGCTATAGAGTTTTGCCCAATTTCATTTTGAATGGAGGGATTTGTGAGAATAAGATACAACTTGGGAGTTTAACTTTAACTTGAATACCTTGACAATTGAATAAACAAATGGCATCATAAACTAGATTAGATCCAAGCAAATTACCAAATTGCTTGGCCTCATATTGTGTAATAATCTAAATATAAGCCTTTGATTTGAACCCAAATATGAACATATCGAAAAGAAACCTTGGATATTGGCATATTCGGTTGCCATTCAAAAATTGCGAGTATTAAACCTTGAAAAATGCCAGAGCCATGACTAAGAATATAAGATCTGTCATAAAAATAGTCAAAATGCTATTAAATAATAGCAACCTATCCTTAAAAATGCCAGTATAAATTGATTAAAGATTGAAATTTGGTAGCATGAACATGTCTATAATCCAAGATCCAAACAAAGAAATAGTGTTGTTGGCAAAAATCCGTGTAATGCTCACCACAGTTAGAGAGTAACATAGCTTTAAAGAGTATGAAAAAACTTTACAAACTAACAGAAAAAGGCAAGAACTTATAGGAAAAACTAAAACCAAAAAGAAAAAGACAAAGAAATGTGGTACTAGTAGATGAGATGATCCTATCTTATAGGAAGAGTATGAAAAAGTAAGTAGCTAAGCGAGAGAGCACACTGCCTTTTAGAGAGAACGAAACCCTTCTCCTTTAACCAAATAAAGATTACTCTTACCACTAATCTGCATAATAGAATAAAAGACACTTAGTTATATTTAGATATATGATATTAAATATGAATTAACAAGCGCTTTTAAACATGATATTAAATATACTTATGAGGATCTCGTTTTTGATTTGCTTTTTCACATGAATATCTATCAAAAGATGTTTTACAATCATGGTAAATAAAAACTTGCAACATCATTGTACAATAATCAATATTTTCATTTGAGACTAACTTAAACACATCAAATGAATATTTTTGCAATATGTTCTTTTTAATCAAGCTTGGATTATACAAGACTGCAAGATTCAAAATATAAGCTGTTCCAATGAAGTTCTTGCTTCAAATACTTGTCCTATCAAGCTTGAATAATTTTTGTGTAAGGCTTTTATAGTTCTTTACTTCTATAAAATATATCATTGATTCCACTTTTAGCCCTTTGCATCCTTTCCTAAACATAAGCCAATGATGGCTTTTCATCTGAATCAACAATTCTGAAAAGTATATTGTAGGCATTTCATGAAAACAATAGTTTTTCTAATTTGTTAAGTCTTGATGTTATTAAAAAAAACAAGTTAATATCAATTCCAAAGTTGTTAAAATGTGTTGCAATGATGTTATTATGATGATGATTCCTTTGGGTTGTTTGAGTTGAGAAAACAATGGTTATAGCTTTAGGTTGAGAAAATTGGCAAGGGATTAAAACTCATAGTCATATAGTCTGAAGTATATAAAATACACAAGAGCCAAAGAATGAAAAAAAGTTATAAGATTTAGCACATAAAGGCACACAATTAACTCTTATGCAATCAATGCACAAATACCTCTAACTTGGCTCAAAATACACAATTATGAGCTATAAAAACATAAGTTTGGATAAAAGGATATATGTAAAATATGAGACTTATCAGTGCTTTTATGCTCATGCTAGTGTTAAACTTAGAGTTAAGGTAATCAAGGTTAATTTAAATTGTTTTATATATATGACATGGATTGTAAGATGTTTTCTCTACCTTTTCTATTCAATTGAATTGTGAAAATTATGTCTAGGAATAAATTATGTTTTTTTCCCTATATACTAAACTTTGGTAAAATAGGAAGTATGTTGACTTGAATTTATGAACTTGTATTAGCAGTCTTGTGATATGTTATGAAGTGAAGTTCTAGTATTTATTGTGAATTGAGAAAAATATTTTTTTTTCATAATGAATCCTACATTGACAATATTGTTATATTATGATCATGCATTGGGCTTATGAATAGAGATTGGGATTTACTATGTGGTGGATGACTTGTTTTTGAAGTCAACACAACATGGATTAATACTTCTTGAGCATTGGTTGAACCATAAGGTGTAGGTGAGGGGACTTGTTGAGCCAAAGTAATTTGGGTAACCTTTGACCGGGTTACTCAGTATGAGTGGTTTGGGTCCATATTGAAGAGTTATAAGAAGGAGTATGATAAACGGGAGGGCATAAATTATAATGCTGATTATTACATCTATGTTTATATGTTTTATGACTTATGATATTTATGTATGACACTATTTCATTGACTTATCATCATGCTTGTATAAGTTGTAAATTAATTTGTGGTTACTAAGACTTAATTGTCTAACCTTGTTGTTCTTCATTATTTTTAAGAGAGTCATCCTATTGGACTCGGTGCAAAAAAAAAGCAACCAGAGGTATAGGCACTATTGCCTGGTGGGTCTCTTAGGGCTTGGGATTGTATTGATATGTACATTTCTATCTTAGCGCACATGCTTTTGTAATTGGTATATACTTACTTTTATTTAATGTTGGATAACTAGATTTTAGGAAAGTGATGTTAGAAAGAGTCCATAATTGATGTATATTTTTTTGTGTGAATCTACACTTGATTTACTTTGAAAAACTTATATGTTAATGTTTTCAATTGTGTTGTGATTATTTAAATTGAGCAGATATATAACTTATGGGTTAGGCTTAACCCTAGATCTTATTGTGATAGATGTTTGTGATAAGTTGTGGGTAGTTGTTGTGCCTTAAGGCTTATTGTAATTGTTGTTACGCTTATAAGCATTCTTGTGTACCCTGAGTCTTATGTGTTGTTTCATAGATTTAGAACGTATGATTTTTTGAAAAACGATAATTGAGGTCAAATCCTTTTTTGACCATGATAGTGCTTTTGTTGTAATTGGTTTTTCTCCTATTAAGGTTAGTCATTGTAGTAAGCCGACTCTTTATAACCATAGTAGGATTTTCAAAAACTAAGTTTAATTCTTTTCTACTATGATTGACTTCTTTACAATGATTTATATTTTGTGTCATGAGAAAAGCTCTTTTTAATAATAATCAAGATGATTAACAATTTTCAATAATAATCAAAATGATCAACAAGTTTTAAGGAAAAACTTTAAATGTTGGTTTTTGACACGATTCTAATGGCTCATAAGTTGATAAAGTGCTAAATATTATTGAGGGTTAATACTATTTTTGGTCCTTACACTCTCTTCATTCTAGTTTTAATTCCTAAAGTTGGGCTGATGTTTTTGGTCCCCCAGGTTTATTTTATTTAAAATTGTTAATCCCTATAGTTTGGAAAGGACTTGGAGTTGGAGTTAACAATGTTAAGTTTGCTTATATGGTATTAACACTGTTAAGTTTGTTTATTTAGAGAGTTGACATGGAAGGTATTATGACAAAGTTGATGAGTAAGCAAATAAAAAACATGGAGTTTTGATTAAGAAAGGACCCACTTACAAAAGATGCATGACCATAATGTCATCGGTAATCAATATTGTTGACGATTGTTCGGTAACGATTTTTGTATGTTATGTTTTTCTTACTAGTTTTCTTCATCCAATTTTGTCTTTACTTTTCCTTTTAACAGCTAGGCCTTTTTTCTTTTCAAGGAAATATTGCAACAGCTCTATAGTTCTACACACTTGGCAAGTTTTTTTCTGATTAAGAAGCAATAACAACAGTTCCTCTAACTCATGAGTAATTCTAACCCCCATTTGATGAGGTAGATTCTCGCTACTCTTTATTTCTCATAGCCTTCATTGAAGAAGATAGGTTCCTATTCTTCTCATTAGCTTCATCCATGTCTATTTTCTTTTGCTTACACTCTTCAAATAGTCATAACCAAAAAGAAAGAAACATATCCACTTTCTAAACTATACATGGAGATGTCCCTATTTTGAAGCTGTTTTTTTGTAGAGATGACAAGCATCAACAAAGATAGGTTAGCGATTTTCATATCTAGCATCATAAAATCTCTTAGATAAAGAAAACAAGATAACTGTACATTACGAAAACTAGTAAAGAAAACATGGCACACAAAAACCTTCACTAAATGATTGCCAACAACATTGATTGTCAGTGGCGGTGAGGTCAAACTTCTCCAAAAAGTGAGCCCTCCTTACCCTAACCTAACCCTTTTTTCCTTTCCTTTTCCTTTAATTGCTTTCTCAATCAGTAAGTGAGTGCGACTTGTGCTTGTGTTTTAAAGTTTTTGTTTTATAAGTCAAGGTTTTTTATTTGATTACTCATTAATTTTGCCACGTCATCTTCCACATTAGTTCTTCAAATAAGTAAACTTAATGGTGTTAATGCGACATAAGAAAACCTAAGACTATTAACTTCACCCTCAAGTCCATTTCAAACTATAGGGATTAATGGTTTTAAATATAATAAACTTGAGAGATCAAAAATACTGGCTCTAACCTTTAGAGACCAAAATCAAAATAAAGACAAAGTGTAAAAATAAAAAACAGCATTAACCCCATTATTAATGCTAACTTAACTTAATGATTGTATAATTTTTACTTCCATGTTGAACATTTATAGATACTTTTGCATGTGAGAAAAGTTTATGATATATGGCACACATTGAATAAAAGATAATGGGTAGATTTATACCTTTATTCAAAGCTAACACTTAGACTAGACATTAGTGTGGGCCACCACAAAAAGTAATAAATGTAGGCTCTTGTTAATGGCAATGTCATCTTTCTGTCATTTTTTTTAATGAAAATTGAAGCAACAAAACAACCTAAACGTAACAATAAAAACATAATTTTCTCCATCAACCTCCCCTTTTAAATCTGAAGGTGGTTGATTTAGGATACAAAAATTATATCTTTCTCTCATTTTAAATGTTCATAAGTATTTTTGCACTAAAAAAGTGTACAATGTCTGGCATATATTGAGTAAAAGTTTTGGCATATATGGACTAAAAGTTCATGAATAGATGTGTGTATGCATATTGTTAAGAGTCGTAATGTCAGTCTTCTTCCTCAGCTCCAACTCCTTCAACCATTCAGGCTTCGAATCCCATGCACAGTATTGACACTCTCTGCCACTTGCAAAGTCAGCCTTGCCATTGATGGAATCTGCATTCCCTAAGATGAGCAAGGAATGCTATATCCATTTTTTTATTAATTTTTTCACTTGGATTAAATTATATCTAGCACTTTAAAATATTTTTTCGGTAACACCTACTATTATTAGTTAATTAATTTTAGTGCATCCAAAGTATTTTTTTAACACTTAATGAGTACTATTAGAAAAATACTTTAAGGTGATGTAATGCATTAAAAATTAATTAATTTAGGATACTGAAAACTTCATTGGATGCACTAAAAATTAATAAATTTAGGATAGTTCAAGATACTTGATGCATTAAAAATTAATCAATTTAGTATATTGGCACCACTAAAAAAATTTTTTGATTACGAGATATAACTTAACACAAATAAAGAAAAATATTTTTTTTTGGTTAGGCACAAATATTTTCTTATTAGATGTAATTTTGTTTGAAACATAATCAAATTCTAAGAATTAGAGCACCGGTTCCTTACGTTGTAAAGAATTAATTCTGATGATTGGATCTCGGCCCAACCATCATTGGTTAAAAAAAGAAAATTAATTAAAAAAAAAAAATGAATACTTCATGCGCAAACGCCCTGGCTGTGCAGAGCATGCGGACCCACCGATGTTCGTTCTCAGTTCTCCTTCGATCACCGTCACGTAACTCACCTTCAACTTCGTCGTTCCTCTACCCCCTTATGAAACCCATTTTTCCTCGTTTCATTCTTGCCGTCGCCATGGTTAGCTTTGAAGCTTGTCTTTCTCTTGTGGGGTAGCTCGACGTTTGGTCATTCTTGTGTGTAGCAGCTTAAAGTTCCACACCATCTTCTTCGACGCTCTGAAAAGTGTGGGTTTCTTTCTCCCCCCCCCCCCCCAAGCCTAAAAAATTTGCAATTTGAGAGTTAGCTGGTATGATATGGGTTTTGTTGTCTGGAGAAAGACTTACGAGATATGGAGCTTAATCTATCAGTTCGTATTACAGTGCCCATCAATTGTCTGCTAAAATGCTTCAAAGAGAAAAGTTTATCAAAAGAGTTCATCAGTGTGCATCAGTTGTTATACCTCGATTCTTCTATTCTGAGCCCTCTTTAAAACTCCTTTTCGTGATGTAGTTTTCATGTTAATTTACTCTTTATAGTATTTGTACAATTCTAAAATTGATGCTTGAGATATGCTGATTTATTCAAGTTCAAATTGGGAAATGGAAGCAGAAAGTTAGAGTTACTTGATGGTTCTGTTTATTGGCAGATTATTTGTCGATTGATTTGGATATAGATGGAACTTAATTTCTTCCCCTTTGACCACATGACTGAGAACAATATAGGTTGCTCGGTCTCCATATTTTGCTTGTTGATATGCTTCTAATGCTCTGCTTTTAATAATTCTAGCCAACAAGGTTGCTTGTCTACTAATGGTTTTGATTAGCCTATGTTAGGAAGGTCAAATAAAAAAATTGGTAGCAGTTGGAAATTATTTTTCAGCTGAAGAAAAGGTGGAAACTTTGAAAGTTACGTTAAAGTTTTAGTTGATCCTACTGATTAGATGTCTTATATTCACAGAGAAGTTACGTTGTTTTTCTGGCCTAATGCATTTACTCATCCTCTTTAAATTATACTTGTATCAACTTAATAGCTCCCTCTGGGAGAGTGGGACTGTATAGTATGTCAGCCGCAATGGTTGTAGTTTTTGTCAAAATTTCTTATGGCCTGTTGCTAAAATTTTGCAATCACTATTTGATTTTGTTTAAAAAACTTTTTCTACTATTATATTTTCTACTGAAACATTCTCATAACCTTCTTCATGGGAATCTCTATATAGGGTCAAACAGGAATACTGCAAATGTCGCTCTAAACTAAAATCTTTACCACTTTTTCTGGTTTTTTTTTTTTTTTTGGGCAGGAAATCATCAAGTGCTGCCACTGATTTATTGCTCAATGTTTTTGGACTCCAACAAATTTCCACCAAGAACCCTTAAAAATCTGCTCAGATCATCTGAAAAATCAATATTCTCCTTTATATATAGGACTCCAAAACATCCTTTCTTGCACATCCAGGTATGCAATTATGTGGATGTGTACATGAAATGGAAGAAAGACTCATACTATGACTCAATTGAGCACATCCACCAGTCCATTCCACTAAAACCTGTCATAGCCCTCAAAAACTGTATTGCCCAGGACCCAAATGGTTGTCTTCCAATCTCTGCAGTTTCTAAGAGGGGATTAGAGTTAGGTGTGCCCATGAAGGTTGCAAGATTTATGCGGAAATATCCTTCCATTTTTGAGGAGTTTACAGGTCCTGAATACAATCTTCCTTGGTTCAGGTTGACTTCGGAAGCTGCCCTGATTCACAGAGAAGAGGAAACAGTTTATGAAGAGTTCAAGGAGGACTTAAGAGCTAGGTTAAAGAAGATGATAATGATGAGCAGAGACAATGTTCTGCCGTTAAAAATAATCAAAGGGATGCAATGGTATCTAGGATTGCCTGATGATTTCTTGCAGTATCCAGAGCGGAATCTTGATGCATCATTCAAGTTTGTAGACATGGCTGAGGGATTGACGGGATTGGCAGTGGAAAGTGAAGAAAAAGTTTGGTCCACAGTGCAGCTGAATGCCATGAAGAGAGGCTGTTATTTTGGTGACTCAATGGAGGCCATCGAGTTTCCACTTTTTCCATCAAAAGGTTTAAGGCTGAGGAAGAAGATTGAGAATTGGCTTAATGAATTTCAAAAGCTTCCTTATGTTTCACCTTATGAGAAATTCTCAAATTTGGATCCGGACAGTGACATAGCAGAGAAGCGACTTGTTGGGCTTCTTCATGAACTGCTTTCCCTTTTTGTTGAACACTCTGCTGAGAGGAAGACGCTCTTCTGCCTTAAGAAACATCTGGGGCTGCCACAGAAAGTGCACAAGGCGTTTGAACGGCATCCCCATATATTTTATCTGTCTCTTAGGAACAAAACTTGTACAGCGATTCTTAAGGAAGCTTACAGGAATAGATCAGCTATAGGTGAGCATCCTCTACTGAGCGTGAGGAAAAAGTACATCAAGTTGATGAAAGAGTCAGAGGTGATTTTAAGGAACAGGAGAGTGAATAATAGGTTTTCAAATGGGAACTCTCCGAAACTGGACTTAGATTTGGATTTTGTGGATGAGCAAGGCTGTGAGATGGCCGAGTGTTCTTAAGTAGAAGTTGAACTGCCCAACCAGCTTTGCAGTTTCTTGTTTAATGGTCACACAACCGGTTGTATCCTAGCCTTGAGGTATTTTCACAACACTTGTAGCTAGACCTCTTAATGAGTTAATGAAAATTATAACCAATCCTATGATTAGTTTTGGTAAATAGTTTAATTCACTGCTGAATTCTTTGGCTTTACTGTTGTGGTTCTCATCTTTTTAACCTACGCTCTGTGGCTAATCGTTCTATACGTTGGGGTTGTATTTAGAAACATTGCCATACTAATTAACTTCTTTTGACTTCATTCTTTTGTAAGGGAAATATATGGTTTTCTATGCCACCTGAAGCTAGCTCAGGTGATAAAGGGTTCGAATCGTCTTGATTTATTTCTTTTTTTTTCCAAAAAAGGGTTTTTTTTTCCTTTCTTTTTTTCTGTTTTTTGGGTCCAGTTGATTCTGATTGCTTTGATTCTTCGTTCCGTGTCAAGAGTTTTGAGGTGGGATCCTGGCAGCATCTTGTTTTTAAACTGGGAAAATTACCAGTGTTTTTAAAACCGGATTGGGCATTGATTTTTTTTTGGGGGGGGGGGGTGTTTGGTTTTTGAGTAAAATGTTATAGACAGTAAATAATATTATCAAGATGCTGCGTAAACAAAATTATTTGCCTAGTTGCTACAATCGAATTCGTTCTTGGGAGCTTGACTTCAAGAAATCAAGAAACTTGTTGTTTGTACATAATTGTTTTTTTAATTTTTTATTTTAATAAAAATGGTGACAGGCTATTCCTGCCACCTATTTTTATAGGTTTCAAAACCCCTCTTCGCAGTCTATGCCTATTGTCACTCTCCTTTCACTGCCCTTCCTGCCTGGATACGAACATACAGTGTCTCCAAAATCCCCAACTATCGACATTTTCAACACTTATATGCAGTATATATAACGTATGCAAACAAACTAAAACTACAAAAAGATAATTAACAATTTAAAAATGAGTTAAATATCATCCACCACTTTAGATTATTTTTTCGATAGCACTAAATATTCCAAACTAATTTTTGATGCATTCAACACTGTAAAACATATCATATACTAAAAATTGATTAATTAGCATCCAGTATTTAAAATATTTTTTAACAGTACTCATTATTCTATTCGATCTCATAAGATATATTTTGATATAAAATATATAAAAATATAAAAAAATTTAATTAAAAAATATTTTATATTAAAAATTGGTTAAGTAACATCCAATGTACTGAAGTGTTTTTAAAGTATCACTCAATACTTTAAATTAATTTTTGGTGGCCAGACAAAAGAGATTAATTTTCGGTGACTTTGAAAAAATATTTTTAGTGTTGGATGCTACTTAATCAAATTTTAGTATATGATATGTTTTATAATATTGAATGCATCAAAAATTAGTTTAGAATATTTAGTGCTATTGAAAAAATAATTCAAAGTGGTTAATTATATTTAACTTATTTTTAAATTGTTAATTTTCTTTTTTTAGTTTTAGTTTTTTTGCACATGTTATACTTCATATAAGTGTTGAAAATGTTACTAGCTAGTATTTTGTAGACACTGTACATGTGTATCCAGGGGTTGAAGAGGTCAGTTCAGGAAGAGTGACGATGAGCATAGAATGGAAAGAGAGATGTTTTGAAACCTTTGAAAATAGGTGGTAGGTTACTCCAGTCACCTTTTTTATTAAAAATTAAGAAAAGCATTTATGTGAAACTCGTTAACTCGTTGAACTGAGTTTCTTTATTTTCTTAAATCCGAGCTCTTTAAGAATGAGTTTGATTGTGGCATTAAGGTAAATGATTTTGCTTATGTAGCATATTAGTAATGTGATCTACTGTTTTTAGCTTTTTGCACAAAAAGCCAATTGGGGAGTTACTGATTTAAGGATCAACGGTTAGCCTAAATTTTTAATAATATTAAAATATTATAGGAGGATCAAAGAATTCAACAATATTAAAAAAAAAAATTTTGACTTTATAGTAATGGGAGTGAATTTTTTTTTCATTTACTTTTTAGGTAAATGTTAATAATTTGCATTCCAAAAGAGGAATAAGTAATACCCGAAATTTTTTTCTCACTTGCAGCAATTTATGCCTTCACCATCTACGAAATGTCTACAAATATCTCTCTACTTCTAATCGTATTTTTAAGTTTTGTTTGGAATCACTTATGAACAACATGACAAAAGCACATCTCATGAAATAAAGTTATCATTTAAAAGATTACATAATAAAAAATTTTAAGTTTGAACTTTGAGATTTCAACCCGATAAATCTCATCAAAACAATATGGTCAGTTTTCTCTTTGAGAAAGACAAAAGACTTAATAACAACTAAAATCTTTTCTTTGCATATTTTTATGCTCCCGATAAAAAGCTCTAATTTTTTCAAGAGAAAATTATAAATAAGTCACAAATAAAGAAGGAAAAATCACAAATAAAGACCATTGAATGTATAAAATTATGAAAGAGGTTCCTGAATTAACATAATTGCTTGAAGTGACCTATTCTTAAATTGTAATTATGAAATGATGGCTAAAAGACCAAAACACCCTCCTCTTTTCTTCTCTTCCCATCTCTTTCCTCCTTCTCTTCCTCTCCTCATCTCCTTCCTCTCCTCATCTCCTTCCTCTTTTTTCTTTAGACATCGGCTATTGCTCCCAATGTCGATTACTCAGGACTTAATTACTTATATTGCTGGCTATTACTCTCTCGCTATTGATTACACAAGAGGCCTCTCTTTTTATTCCCAATTTTACGATCCTCAAATTGGACAAAGGTATAGATGAACTTCCTTAGTTTAGTGATTCTCTTCTCATTCCCTCCCCTTTTTTCCTTCCTCAAATCATAGCCTTCTTTGATTCAACTAGATCTTATGTGATTTCCTCCCTAAATAATCCTAAGAAGGTTGTCGGCAACAACTTCATTACGAAATAAGGAATGGATTTTTCTTTTACTAGTTTTATAATGAAAAACCTTTGTGCTGGATTTTGTAACACCTTACTTTTGTATCCAATAATGTATCAAATGGAAGCATTTGAAATCATATTTGTTGGCTATTAGATTAGAAAATCAAATTTTCACAAACTTTGTTTCGGGTTACTATTTATAACAA